CCTACAACTTCTCAGAGTCCTGTGGACGATGACTGGGGAGACAAACCATGCAGGAAACATCTAGAAAAGAAAATGAGTTCATACAGAAGGCATAATGGGGTAGTTTCTGTAAGAACCGAAACACCATTCCATACCTAAACCTTCCTTGATTTACCTTGTCTCAAGTTTGCTCCTGATTGATTTTGCCAGCAGACAAGACTGTGGTTATTTTTATTTGCACCCCAGTTGCTATTTCACTTAAGTGAGCCTCCACACTGCCCTATTTCCTAACCACATATAAGGAAAGCAGAACAAAGGCTAATAGCATGATTCTATGTCATCTTGTTAGAGTGGATCTAACAGGGAGGATTTCAACAGCAGTGTCACCCCACATTGGTGAATCACTGTTCAAAGTGAAGTGCATTGCAAATTTGAAGTTACTTCAATTAAAGAAGGGCATTTTTTATTGATTTGCATTTTAAGAAACTAAATCTGATTATGGTTATGCCAATTCAATTCCACTCACTTGGCTTCTGAGATGCAATCATAGATGGAGGAGAAAGGGGTGCCATCGAACCAAGAAGCCCAGGAATGCCTATAATTCAGTCTTTTGAGTGGACGGCATAGCTGCTGATCTGGGTTTGTCTAAGGGTTGATGTTTTCTCACTATAATAAGACTTAAATGAGCTTTTCTAATGTCTTAAAACCTGACCAGGGAGTGTGTTGTGTAGGTGAGGTACATTTGGCCTGCATGTAGAGATGGAGAGGAGTTGAGATGTAGTGTTGTATTGTAAACCCTAGCTTATACTCTTGAGCATGGCATATCTAAAGTCACCATCACTGTTACCCTTGTCAATTCCATATTGGATCCTCTGCTTATCTTTGCTTATCCTCACATCTCCCATGCTCATTCAGTAGCCTTTGTCCTGTGGCTCCTTCTGCCTTGAAAAACCTTTCTCTCCAAACTCAATTAAGCAATTCCCTCTACCTATGTATGACTTCTGTCAGACCCTTACCACATGAGTGCGCTGACTCAGTTCTCACATGCTAGACCATAGGTGTCCACCCAGGGCAAAACAGCTGCTTTATTCTCCACTGTGCCTGTCACAGTGCTGTGATCAGTCAGGAATCAAGTGAGTGGTCAGTCTGTCTCTCCAGGGTTGATGTTTTCTCACTTTAATAAGACGTAAACATGCTTTTCTAATGTCTTAAAACCTTACTGGTAGGCATAAGATGGAATGGGAAGTGGTGGTGAACAGTCATTAGAAAATCTGTGTACAAGAAACTGAGTGACTCACATTTATAAGGAATTATGGGCTGCTCAGAGTACCCAAACCCATAAATTTGGGACTTTGGAGGCATGGAGTCAAGTTGCCCAGGAACCTCACCCTCACATCCCTTCAGAACTTTAAGTCAGGTAGTTGAGAGGCTGGGGCAAACCGGGGGAAAAAAAGTGATTTTATTTTAGTTTTCTCCCAACACATGCACTGAACTATCTTGGCCAACATAAGTCTTCATTATTCATTCATTTTAGTACATTTTTATCAAGTGCCTACTCTGGGTTAGGTATTGCGCTGGTTGCTTAGGATACAGCCCCGGTTTCAAGGAGGTGTCTCCGGCTTCTTGTGGGAAGAGAGGAGGAGTAAACAGAACATTGCAATTCACTGGGGACCATGGTCCCCAAAGTGAACAAAAGCACTTAGTTTGTATCCCACAGGGCCTCCTATCTGCTTTGTAGACAGGAAGATCCGCTGCCCTTTGCCCCTTTCTATGTAAACAAAGGCTTCATGGTGCAGTCTGAACCATCTGTGCCACCACTGAGAGAATGCAAAGCCAGGGAGAAATTATTTGTTGTGGTAGGTGTATTTGGGGTGGGAAGCTTGAAGAATTTGGACCAGTAATTTTTGCTCTCTACAGAAAATAGAGTTTGGGGATTGAGACAAGGTAGATTTTTGTTGGTCACAAGTGAATCTTTCTAATGTTTATTTGTGTGGGTTTCTAGGAATTCTTGAGAATTTCAGGGACAGAAATGGAATGTCTCTCCTTTGCTTTATAATTACTTAAAAGGGCAAAGATGTGTGTGTGTGTTGGGGGGGGTATGGGGTGTGGGATAGGGGAAGGGAGGCTGGGGGCAGAGCATACTCTTCTCAATTGGATCCCACCTATCTCTCAGGTTCCAGTTACTCTTGGTCCACCCCAATGCCATTTGCCCATGTATCTTCATAGTAGCTGCTCTAATTCTCTCTGTTTTTCAGACACATCTCCCTTTTCCTTGTTAATCGAGGCTTGCTTCTCCCAAGACAGGTGCTGTTCCATTCTTTGCCCCCCAGGAATACCATTCTCACACCTGCATCATAGTATGCCTCCCCTTGTTTCACAATCTGTCCGTGCATCTGATATAGCCACTAATTTATGACGACGAATGGGCATAGACCACATGGTACTGTCATCGCTAGCATAAGATCTGTTCACATTGCAGACAGTCCGATGTTTAAGGCCCAGTTCTACATAATTAGCTCTATAACTTTGGAGCAAGTTAGTTAACCATTGTAAGCCTTAATTTCCTTCTCTGTAAAATGTTGACAATAATAGTATCTACTACATAATGTGTTTAGTTATTCAGATAAAATTAGACAATATGCATGCAAAGCACTTAGCACAAAGCTGGGTACTGGGTTGGCACTGAACAAGAGTTACTTGCCTTGATCAAGTTATCACTAAATATTTGTTGTATGACTTGAATATCTCCTTGAG